CTGCATTACTGATCTTTCTGCAGTTTTATGTCGTCATCATCGTGTGCACAACAGCCGTTATGTAAAAATCGAGAAATAGTTGTTTCTTCTCCACTGTCTGTACTGTGGATCTCGGACTTCTTAGTTTAATTTGAGCACTGGTGAAGGGTTCTGGATAACCGTTTCCGAGAAACTTCTGTTTGATTCGCCTCAGTCGTGTCCTCCCTGCAGATCTTGCGTTCACGATTTGTAAGTGTCTGTACCTCGGTGGCTGAGTGAAATGACGCTCTGGAAATGCGTGTTTGCCCCGTACAGTGTGGTATGATGTTGTGTTCTGTGATTGTCGCTGCCGATCGTGCAGCAATGACCCCAGGCCGACTTCTTGGTTGCTCTCGTCACACGCTCCAAATCGAATCCGGATAAGCGAGTCGATGACACCAAGTAGATAATTGGTTTGGATGACGAAAACAGAACTCAAGTGGCTGCCGTACGAGAAACAGCCGGATGAAATGCGTTAACTTGTGAATGACTCTAAATGATGCAATCATGTATACGTTGAACAATACAACCTTTTGGTTCACGGGAAGTCACTACGACTAGTTCCTCATATCTATTATTGGTGGCGAAGGTCTGTCCGACTTGTGTGTTTTATGAGGCTATAAAACCATGGATGAAATGTCACTCAACGTGGGAGGTTATAATGTGCATATCCTTATGAGCATTAGTTCGTCTTTGGTTTCAACCGATCAAGCAAAAGTTTTTTTGCATAATTCTTGTGCAACTAAATATGCTTATTTCTCTTGGTGCGGAGTGCTCACAAAGGGACCGATCCTATTCAAATATGCAACCTGCCCACACATGCTGGGCTGTCAATGATTGAGGTTAATGCAAGGTTGGAAAGGGTCGCTTTTGTGAAATCTTCCATTTGGGGCTTTCACTGTAGTTACGTGTCAGTTCAGGGGCATCCTCAGTTGTTTAATTTCCGTACAGCTGGGCCTGCCATGATGACGGCGTTTTCAGGAAAGGGGACGCAACAATTGGAGCCATGAATCAAAATCACACGAGTAATACCTAATCGTGCATAATGAACTAAAGTATTACGGGAGCAATTATTTGTGAATAACCGAAACCCTATACCTGGAGCAATTGTACTCAGATAATAGCATCAGCGGTATGCCGACGCGCTGTACCGACGCTTTGTTGCCACACAACCAACAACAATCGCACGTGGAGCAAGGGTACTGGAAGGATCAACTTGTCCCTACGCAGTCTCCGACCCGCACCATCAGATTGCAAGGCAGGCCTGTGAATTTTCCGCTACGGGCCGGAGTACCCAGATAAACATTTGATTAGATAATTTGATACTGTTTAATAGACTAGGTAGCGTCGTTGACTGGGGCACCAAAGTGGGAGTTGTGTCGCGCGCGTACGGCTGACAGGAGTATACTGTGCTCCTGGAAACTCTTCACTGTGTGAAATACTCTCATCACACTTTAATGGCGTGGCCTGCGTTGCAACTCATGCAAACTTAGAGATCGATGTTTAATGAATTCCGACGACAGCGACCCAAAAACATCCCACTTAAACAGTGTGATTTGCACATCAAATGGTGGGAGTTGCTCTGGCAATGGATACGCAACCGAGACAGTGCAAACCAGCATTGATAGTACATTGGTTTTAGAAGCAGGTTATCGAAAGCGATAATTACAAAGACCACAACTTGGTGTCCTCGGTGAGTTTGATCTTCACCAACTGCTACAAAACTCCCCATTTCAACTAAGACCATCCGCTTCCAGAGGGGTCAAACTGATACACTAGTCCACCTACTATTGCACGCAAGTTCTGTGACGCATGTTGAGGTATGTACCGCTAATCGGCGAGGTCATCCAACTGGAGTCGTGGTGTGAGTGGACGAATCGTGGGTTCCACATGACAAATGGGTGCGGGCCGCACATGCGGATGAGCATAAGCCCCGGAAACACCCACGAGACAGCTACGTCCGCATGTACACGTCACCTCAAGTATCAGAGTACTTTGCGGATGACCGTCCACTAGGTAGTGCTCTAATGAGGTTGGAAAAAATAAGCTTAAAATGAAATTCACTTGGTAGATGCTGCTGCTGCTGACAGAACCTTCAGTGAACCGACAAATGTAGTTTCGTGGATGGTGGGCACCAGATTGCTTCGTGCAACACGAACTATATTCTGCTCACAGCTCGACGAACTGTGTCCAACTCAATCAAATTGCCCAGTTAATCAGATCACGGTAGGGTATGTGGAACAGTGAAATCCCAAAAGCATTCCCCACCACCGCCACATTTTAGCTGTCGGCCGGTGGTCGATTAGTATAAGGCTTCTTCCTGTGTAGTCTACGGGTCACCGGTTTGAATCGGCGTAGGAGCCGGCGACCGCGCACGACTGGCGGTGATCATGTTACAGCAATGAATCAGTACAGCGTACCGGCATACGGTTGATTCACCCTCCTCCACACGCTAATGATGAGCAGATCGGTTGGGAATTTGGCAGGTATTCTATACTGGATGAGTGGACCTGAGTACCGTAATCAATCAATGTATCCTGGCGTGGCCCGCACAAGACCCACACGTGTTCAGGCTCCAAAGTTTAGAGATAAACGCCAGACTTGAATGGAACGAACAGAGTGAAGTGGCTTGTCTGTACCTCGTTCGCTCAGTACTCCCGCAGATGAAGTTACTCGGGGAATATGTGTCATGGTGCTTTACGCACCCGGGATGCGCGTTCATCTCACAACCCCCGGTCACTGGCATAACCTTTCGTATGAATTATTTCACAGTTCTCGGAACCAAGTGTCAAGTCAGTGCTCTTTACTCTTTGTGGAGCTGAGTACTGAGGCCGCCGCGTACTAGCCAGCGCCGGATACCACGACCAGAATTTTACACATAGTGTTGATGTATGCCTCCCGAATTATTGTAAGCTTGGCGTGAAGACCGCAACAGGCTACCCTCTACAACATGGTAGTAGGTAGACGGCTCGGAAGAGTAATCCGTTAGCTCATCACCTAAGCATAATTAATGAATAAGGCTGAGCTGTTACCATCTTACCTACTCCAATTTGGTAAGTTGGGTTCCCGTTCTCACGAAATGTCTAAACTAAGGAACAGAACAGGGAAATCTCTTCCACATTGGTGCCCCAGTTGCGTGGTTTGTTTGGTACGGATATCTACTGACCGATAGAGTTGTTTATTTCGGCTTCTCATTCAAATTGCAGCTTGCACCATAAAGGATAAACAAGCATGCTCTCCGGGATGAAGTCTGGAATATGGTCGCAATGGATATCAGAACCGCTTACCAAACAACGGCTTGCTGCTGCACACTCACAGGCTCTGTTAGGATTTCAAATACGCCTTAACCGTCGGACATTGCGTAAAAGGGTGAAAAAGCACTGATGATATCAAAACGCTGCATGCAAGGAACTGATTCATACCGTATCCGTGACTGCCTTCCACTAACTAGCGCAACAGAGGACTCTCATAGATATCACTTATATAAATCCAAAACAGGTTGCCATGTGACCTTGATGTCCCACCGAATGCATCGTAACTCGGATCGAATATATCACTCGGCCCACAACCGAACATCAAAAGACTATGGTTACTAACCCTTCTCTAACTTTGTTTTTGCCTCCTCACTGATTTAGCAATGTGAAACCCCTTGATCTTACCCAGCCCGTGGCGGAGATGCACACTATTGGGCGCGTCCCCAGGTTGTGGATTGGGAAATGCCTTCCATCTGGAGGTAACTGCAAATAAGTCTCGTTTGCTTTGCAGGCGAGGTGAATAAGCAGTCGCGGACAATCTGCGGCAGCATCTCAGAGCGTGGGGAGTTCTGGACTGGTCACTTGGTTCTCCATCAAATACCACAAGAGCTCGTACGGCGCTGTGTCAAAGCCAATGTGACTGGCCATAGGGTTACTGACCACTCACTGCTGTAACCAGGGGTGAGTATATAACGGAGAGCGGATGAACAACCTCGCTGACCACTGACTTCTCTGTGGACTGCTTCCGAACACAAAGAAAGTGAATGAATCACTTGTGTCAACGGTCTTCGTGAATCACCCCGCTGCCTTGTGGGTCAGGTCTTAAGACCAAAGGCTCGGGGTGGGGTCCTTTAGGTCAACCCTCTACCTCGGCCTGGGCAACCGGGAAGACTTCTGCCCACAACACAACGTTCCAAACTTTCCAAATCCTTTCATTGACCACCCGTTTTCCCACTATTTTGTTGTTGTTAACTAGGTGTTGTGGCACTATCAATTGTACGTTGGTCAAGTGTTGAATAATAATAGTAATAATAATCATACCCAGCGATAGTAGCAGTGCTTGCGAGCGGACGGTGGCAGCTATCAGACTGGGTTTGCGGCCAGCTGCAGTGGCATGTTGTAGTAGTGTACACGATGTTAGGATGAGGAGGACGGCTGCTCATACCGCTCCACAGCAATGCAGTGCGTAATCGGTAAGACAGTAAGATTAACCACAGATGCTTGATATTCACCTCAATAGTGACAAGTCGACCACAGATCAAGGTGGATGTTATCAGAGCCATCCGAATTATCTTGTCTCCTTCTCAGGGTATTTGATAACGTCCTAGGTTAATGCTAGGCTCCGACAACAAACTGCTCCCACGCAGTGGAACCTTAGGAAGAAACACCTTTTGTATCATCAATGGACCTCAGTGATCTCCATTTTAACGCACCAGAGACCAACTTGAATGCACTGTAGAGTAAATTGTCTGGGGCATGATACACAATGACAAAGACACAGCATTAAATCCGCATTGCGGTGCAAACCCTATCGCGCAAACATGCACCTGCTCATAAAAACATCATAGACGCCAGATGAACCCCGCACAGTAACCCAACAAGCAATCTGTTTAGAAACATACAATTATGAGAAAGCAGAAAAACGAAATCACACTATATATACATCAGTTGAGTTCGAACATAAGTCAAGATGAATAAACTATCGAGGCTTCCACGATTTGTGTCTCGCCATGAAGCCGTGCAACCACCCACAGCAGATCCACCGTCTACTACCGGATTCTTTCGGATGGCGGCAGTTTTTGGGACCGGATCTCTTCATCACTCACTTCCGTTTTGACACCACGAGGTGCGTTGCATCGGCGCGTTCACTCAGCTCATGCGTTGTGAAACCGGGTTCAGTCGGGACATGTGTGACATCTGGCAACAGGATAGATGCGTGGATGAGGGACAGTTAGCTTCCGAAAGTGTACGACGTTCAATATAGTTCAATAGTGTATGGTGGGATAAAAAGCAATAACTTTACATGACCCACAGGATGGCAAATGGAAGAAAACAAAAGTTTCAGGTGTGACACAAAAATATCAGTAAGTTAGACACTGTAGTTTGTCATACCGTTATAGAATGTGTATCATGTAAGTGCAAGTCCAATAGTCTTTCGAATGTCTCGATGTTTGGTGCGTTCACCACATGCGATGGTAGTGCGTTCCAGTGCGGACAGACACTAAGAGAGTAAAAAAACCTTCTACAATCTAAACGGGAATATTGAGTCACAAGTTTTAGTGCATGGCCTCGGCATCGTTTGTCGGCAGATAATGTTAACAGCGACTTACATGGATGGTCCTCTTCTCTTAGTATCCGGTAAGTGAGGATCAGATCACCGCGAAGTCGTCGGTATTCTAAGGAGTACAGACCAATCGAACGAAGGCGCAGTTCATAACTAAGGCCCGATAGACCACGTGTTGCCTTAGTGGCTCTTCTTTGTGGTCGCTCCAGGAGACGAATGTCCCGTTTTAACCACGGACGCCATGCCTGCACCGCATACTCGAGGTGGGGACGAATGTAGGCGTTAAACAATAATGGCACGAGTTGCCTCTCGAAGGTACCGAGCGCTCGCCTTAAAAGCCACAAGTTTAAGTTCGCTATGTTAGCTGCCTTTGAACATTGGAGCGAATTACCCAGACCTTCTTGCACGATGACCCCTAAGTCTCTTTCGTTGCTCACCTGTTTTATAACGCGCTGCCCCAGGTGATATGTGTTGCTGCAGTTACTGCGCAGCGACAACAGGTGACACTTTTCGGGGTTCAGGGGTAGTTGGTTGTTTACTGCCCATTCGTGAATCCGGTTCAGATCATCCTGCAGATAGACAGGGTCAGACGTTGGCTGAATAGCTCGCCACATCTTAGCATCGTCGGCGAATATTTGCATTGGTGATTGAATGTTGGCAGGGAGGTCGTTGATATAGACTAAAAAGAGTAACGGGCCGAGAACTGATCCTTGCAGTACGCCGCTAGTGACGCATAGGCTATCGGAGTGGGTGTTGGCGATCCTTACCTCGATTCTTCTGTCGTATAAGTAACTTTCCAACCATGTGAGCAAGGATCTGTGGATACCATTGGCTGCAAGCTTTCGGAGAAGTGCTGGGTGATTGACTCTGTCGAATGCCTTAGAAAAGTCTAAGTAAATCAAATCTACGAGAACTCCCTCGTCAGCAGCCCTGGTCCATGAGTCCCGAGCAAGTAGTAGATTGGTGAGGCAAGATCGTCCGCGTCTGAATCCATGTTGGAGGTTGGAGATGATTTGTGGACCTTCAAAATATCTCACCATTTCATCAGCGATTATAGACTCCATCACTTTTGATAGGACAGGAAGGAGAGTAATGGGTCGGTGGTTGGCAGGGTCTGACCGCTTACCTCCCTTGTATATCGGAGTGATAAGTCCACGTTTCCACTCAGACGGAAGTGTATGAGAATCAAATAGAAACTGGAAAAAGGTTGCAAGGTGGACTGCCATGGTGGGTGCAAGGGTTTTAAGTACTTTCGGACAGATCTTGTCAATTCCCGGCGCACTATTTTCCCTGAGCGACTGTAATTTCTTTGCCACAGATGTAGGGCTAAAGTTGACCGTGGATAAGCCGACGACATTTGCTGAGATGTAGCAAGGCGATGGTTCCATGGTGTGTCTAGTCACTGAAACAAACTGCATGAGCAATGCGTCCGCGGTCTCCTCTTCAGTAACCGTTGGGCCATTGACCGTCTCTAGTGGTGGTATTCCCGTCTTAACCTTCCTTTTGTCATTCACATACCGGTAGAGCAGTTTGTGATTACTAGTAAATTTGCGTACCATAGTTTCCTGCCATTCGTACTTGTCAGCTTTAAGGAGTGAAGTGCAGTAGTTTCTGACTGTTTTGTAATGATTCCACGTGATATCACTTGGACCTAGCAAATGACCCCTCCAAACCTCGTCTCGCCTATTCAACCACTTACGTGTTCTACTCCGGATCCAGTTGTTGCTCCGTCGCGAAACTCGTAATGGTATGTCTTTTGAAGCTGATTGTAGGACCTAGTTTATCTTGCCTTTCAACACTTGCCAGGCATCATTCGCCGAAGTGTGCATCTGGAGGTCCCAGTCAACGGTTGTCGCTATAGTGTGAAGCTTGGAATAGTTGGTGATGAATCGTCGGGCTTCTGGTTCTTTGTCAACCATACTGGCATAACACACATAATCAAACGTTAGAACTGAATGATCGCTTCAACCTAGCGGGGGGTTGTATGAAACCGACTCAACCATTAACTCCTCATTAGTCAGGATTAAATCAAGTATTGAAGGCTTGTTTGAACCGCGGTGTCTGGTTGGTTGATCCACATGGTTATACAAAACTGCCATAGTCAATAACTCAAGGAGTTTTGATTTGAAGCATGGCCCACTTGGGAACACAGATGCTATTGACGGTACATTGAAGTCACCCATTATTAGGTAGTGTGAGTACTTTTTCGACATAGCATATTGGAGAGCATTTAACAGAATATCATCGCTGTCGACGGAGGAGTTCGGCGGCCTGTAGACAACTGCTATGAGGCAAGCATCATGTGTCTTCTTCTGAGGACAACCATCGGGACCGGATAGCTGCAGCCGGCAAAATAAGGCGTCGGGGATAATAAGGGAATGCTCAGTGAGAGCTTCACATTTCAGGTGATCTCGGTAGTAGATAGCAATGCCACCACCGCGAGATGGACGATCATTTCGAATGACTGACATTTCACTAAGTTCAATTTCTGTATCCAAAATCTCGGTTGAGAGCCAGGTTTCAATTAATGCTATAATGTCCCAAGTTGCTGCTTCATGCCGATGGCGCAATTCCGGCAACTTGGAGTAAAGCCCTTGGGCGTTTGTGTAGCAGCATTGCATTTGTTGCCGCATTAGGAGGTGGGTTCGCTGTGTCTGATCGGCATAAACAGTGCCGGTCTGCCCACATTTTTTGACACGAGTGTTTGCACGCTTGGCTGGTCTATGGTCGGAAAAGCCAGGTCTGACTCAACTGTACCAGTGGTCTGTACTGCTTGCAGGAATGGTCTCAGTCGTACTTCTGGTGGTCCTAGCCTTCCGCTGTGGTACCACACGTTAATTGCCATTGATGCCATCTCCGGCGTAGCCAAGGTAACTTTCAAAATTTTCGGCCCGCTCCCTTGATAGTTTGGGGAGGAAGCTAAGCGGCTGACGTCGAATGCCACAACATTCTGCATGCCATAGTTCTGTGATGTAGCGCCACTCATCAATATCGTGTTTTTGTCTTTCACTGGTGTCGCCATGTTTCAGTTCGGGCACACCATGAACCAACACCACTTTCTTCATTACATTTTGACGAGACGCGGTTGGGTCGGATTTTCGCTTTTGTCTTTCCTTCCATGGCATGTCTGGAAAAATGCGGGCACTGAGAGAAGAGTTCGCTAGACTGTGGCTTGCTAAGAGAACATCCTCCAAGTCCTTTGTGTTGCCAAATGTTACTCGCAGTAACCGAGGTTCCCCTACGTGAGGAGACTATGGGTTTCGTGACAGACGTGTAAGACTAGTTGGGAGAACGTTTAGTCCTAGTGCGCAGCTTATCTCAGTCCAGCGAGTTTGGTCTTCGGCTTGTCGACCTTTTAACGACTCGCTGGTGGGTTCTGGTACGTTTGAACATATGACTGTCATCGCTTGTTGGTTGCGTAGTAATTTAGTTTGTTGCAGTTCCTTTTGGGTGGAGGTTTATCGTGTGGGAGTGTTGGTCTTGTCTTGTGGGGAAGACAAGTCAAGGCTGCAGCAAGGATTCTCCTGTGCAACGACGTTATTCACACAGTTTGTAATGTGCTGCCAGCTAATAGCGATGATCGTGCAATTTGTGCATAACTCTTTACGCCTTGCGGTACAACAGAAGATTTTATAGAATTTTCAACTGGCTTGGCATCACAGTTGTTTATCGCTAATGGTGCTTGTTTTTCGCCGAAACGTGTAACATTTTTAATGGATAACTTTGGTCTTTTGGTAGGTCTTGGGTTGGGGCTACTTAATACACTAAGCTGTAACTCGAGTTCAGCGATTTTCCCTCCCAAAGCCTTGACTAATTCTTTCTGTTCGGATGACGCAACAGCCAACATTTCACACCTCGCGTTGAGAGTTCGGATAATCTTGGCTATTAGGCTATCTGAACACGCATCACAGAACCACAAACTATTTGTTATTACGCTGCGGTTTCCGCCAAGTTCTGAGTTCACGTCCACTTCGTCGTAAGAATTTGCACACAAAGAGCACGTGATTTTTGTGATGACAGTTCTCCGCTTACTTGAGCCATGATTGACCTCCGTTGTTTTGTTCACGCGTGGACCCGCTGATAAACTTCGCCTTCCCATGGCTTAGTGACTCGTATGCACTTTAAATCACGCCGGTCGCACCGTTGTGAGCTGCGTGAATTGACTAGTCCGGCTAGCGGTAACCGTCGCTGTCCGGGTTTGGTGATGATGGGTCCTGGCGCAAGCGTGTATGGAATCACAAACACTTCGTGTGGTAGGGTGCACGAAGGAATATGGATGAAAGGACAAAATAGCCAGTATCTATGGTGTATGGTGGTGCACAGTACTAAGCTATATGTCACCTGATAGCTTTAGAAAAGCTCTGTAGAATGGTTTCTTAAATTCACTGAGATTACCTTGCTAAAACAAGCTTTCAAGCGTGGTTCTTAATGTACGAATTGCCGAAGACGCCGGTTGGGATGAAATAGCGAGACGGAGGACTTACTGCGCAAATATAAATCCCGTTCGATAGAACTCGGCGAGCCGAAACGAATGGGCGTATTTAGGAGAATGTAGCACAAAAAATGAACGGAATAATCCAGGATTACCACAGAGCACAGAATTATGCGACCGTCTGTGACCTTGTGAATCACACACGTATGAACATACACACATGTCAGTTGGAAATTGGGTGTTGCCCACCCGAAAACACTGCGCAACCACGACGCGTTTCGATGTAATTTCATCTCATCAGGTGGAGACAGCAGGCCTCCATCCCGCTATCATTGGAATAGCAGTCCACACCACTACCCCTTTGGCTACCGGGTCACGGTGGGCAGCACTTTTTGGCACAATGGTAACTGACTAATTGGAGGGTCAAGTTTGGACGACACGTTGTGTGATTGGATTGTGACACGCAACCTCTATGTAATGGGCTGTGATTCACATGTCGTTTTTGTTGGCGACATTTGTCTGCAAACGTCTAATGTGTTACTCTCAAGATACTTCGATCATAAGTGCTCCTCATATTGTTTTGTAGAGTGCTCATACCCAAGGATTAACAATATGCATAAACGGAACATTCCCCTACGGCCCATACTCGATGGTATAGGCTCCCCGACACAAAAACCTCGCTAGACATTTGGCGGGACTATTGCAAAAACATGACAAAACGAAGGATTACGCTCGTGTAGAACCCATACTTGTTTACCAAAAAGATAAAAAGCCTCACTACAGAGAGGAATGTACTAATTGTAAGCTTTGATGTCAACTCGCATTTTACTAGTCTACCCAAAGAGGTGCTGGAGTTAGCAAGACGTTGCCTAAGTCAGGATAATACACAGGGTCAGAGAACAATGCTTGCAATTGATCAAATGGTTCGAATCATGAAGTGTCCTAGCATGTGCTGTGCACCCAGGAACCATGGGGCTCGAAATCTGTCCGACTGCAGAGAATGAACCTTTTCCCTTTAGACTACCGCCGACGTCGAGGAGACCTCATCTAGACTAGGCGAATTCTACGAGGAGAAATGGGAGACCAGCTGACAGTGCTTTTCAGCTAAGAATTGGCAGTTCGACTCGAGGTCACAGCTGGACGCTGTTTAAACTGAGCAGGTTAAATTCCGTTCAGACAATCCCGTCTACTAAAGTAGTTAATGGCTGATACCTGCTGCCGGACCTGATTGTTAACGCGCAGTCAGAGGTGCGTTTCAAACGTTCGTTAGACACCTACCTACTGAGTATTCCAGGATCATGCAAGATTGGTATTAGTTCGTTCTGAGAGATACCATAAAACAACACCTACAATCTTTGGAAGACCGGGAAGAGAAGTAGCTGACACGGCACCTCCATTCTGTTTACTACCATTCAACGAAATCATTGGATTTCGATGTACTCTCGCGCTGCGATTTGAAGTCCGTTGACAACACGCCCAGGCTATATCGTAACGGATTGCGTATCCTTTGGGCGATCAAATGCAGGTTTTTCTATTCGGTCTGAAGAGGCCGCCACTCGAACCTCCTCTTTCATCATAAGATAAAAATACTGGAGCACAACTCACTGCCCTACTATCTGTTGTTTTGAAGCGAGGCAAAGAAGATTGAACGGGTCTAACACCTCGTAGTGAGGCTCATTCACGGTTTACGAGGATTATACTTAGTGGGTCACTTAGAGAAAAGAGGAAGCTACACTTCACCCAATCTTCGGATGCGAGTCGATCTCATCACGAATTACCACACGTAACATTTCTGTGACTTACCGATTTTGAGGCAGCTGCTTCCCTTACGAACGCCATGCGGCACACACGGACACCCGTACAACCTTGTGGTACCGGATATAAAACAAATACCCCACCTTCTCTGCTTCGAATGGAGAGTGGTAAATGTTCCGAATAGTCTGTCAGAACAACTCGTGGAGGCCAAACCTGTACAGCAACTCAAAGCGGTGTTAGGTGTACACTTCACAGCCATCCGATTTAGAGGACGATCACACATTGGCTAGGACACCTCTGTAGTTTGTGACCCCCAATGATACTCTAAATCTGACATTATTTACTGCTACGTAAGAAATTGCGGAACGCTTAGAATATTAAAAGTGACTGATGATTTTTTTGATACTTTTGAACATATAACGATGAAGTCGTACAGACTTATTTGCTTCTACAATACAGTATTCAATACAGCAATTTTCCAACAAGCACACATCATACAATCTCACTCAGAATGTTTGGCACGCCAGTATGCGCGAAAATTTGGTGGCAAATCACTCACTTGTCAAAACTGGCGAGTGGTGAACGTTCAACTCATTTTCCTGTAGAAGGCTTTCAGAAAATAACGGAGATTCGCGGGTAGCTGATTCACCAGAGGCTTCGAAAATCTGAACGCCACCCTAAACGAAAGAAGAGAAGAATGGTAAAACCCTCCAAATAATCAAAAAGTGGCATGGTGTCGGTTTAACTCGTACGCTTCCACCTGAAATAACTAAGGGAAAATATGAGGAAAGACACGCGGAAAGAGAGGGATCGAGCAGGGTTAATTTGTGAGTCGACTTTTGGACAGCAGAACTGGTTCTAATTCGGCGATGCTGTCCGGCATAACGCGCAGTGCTTGGAGTTAGGGTGTGGCGTGACCCGCATTACACTTGCTCGTTTAACCATAACACCGAGTCGGCTACTGATGTCGTCCCACCGCTTGAAGTGGTCTAAGTCCCTACCGCTAATTAACGTCTACTCTGATTATGGGATATTGGAGCATAGTACATTCAGTACAAATTGCTATTGCTTAAAATCACTCCACATTTCAAGGGTAGTGATTGACATACTCGGTGATGTGCCGCAGAAAACAGGAGATGACTGAATAAGGAGAGCACCTAGTGAATGTGAAACCTTCACGCTGTCAATATCTCGCGACAATAATGTCATTCTTGTTTGCATCTTCCGAACATCTGCTTGTTTTACCTGAGTTACTTTGCATTCACTTTCGATTTCCTTATGAGTCGCGCGGTTCATCGCCACGTGCTTCGCTGACTTCCAGTTCTTTGTAGCTCGTACAATACACATTGGGATCGGCAACGTTTCCCTTCTGAATACTCGGTATCCGGAGAAATAAGTGAGACTAAAAAGAACGGCATCACGGAAAGCAATCTCGCGAGGACCCACGTAGCACTTATATGGTATACAACGCATCATCACCATGTGAAAAGTACTATCTCCAATATGTGGTCGTCAACACACAGCGAAAAGCTTGTGAACGTGACGAATGCTTATTCTCCCTCTCCCTTACCACTGGAGTGGGAAGTATCAGCGTTTAACTATGGAACATACATTTTTATATCTAATACATAAGATGGCTACAATACCACTTTGGGAGCTCACGAGGTAAATTAGGTCACATAACTTAGACGCCCGCTTTAAATGATACTCCCTTATCCGAATTCGGAAACGACCTGTTGATACTCTACTTCACCCACATTACATGACTTACCTCAGCATCATTGCAATAGGTGATGGTGTGAACACACGGTGCCAGCAAGAAGACCATCGACTTGCTCTCCTCAACAACGAGCTCCGTAAGGCATTGCCTGTTGCCCGCAGTAAATCCATTGTTTCAGCGAACACATCGACGACAGACTGCTGCAGCATCAGCGCTAGATTAGGATGAGGTCAGAGCTGAAAGGTATTTAAACCGAGATGGATCAAAGTGCGCACCGCTGTCCCGCACGCCAATTGAGTAGTGGATGGCTGGAACCGTCTACCGGAGACTGGTGCTCATACGCCATCCGAATAAAGTTCCAGACTGCTCTTAGACACCTACCTACGTAAGATACCTGGACAGTTTCGTCTTACTGCGGTTGCTCCGGTTCAATGAAGACCACCTGGTCGTGACGACTTACGTGCTCCTGGTGCTGAACTGGTGACAAGCATAACATGGGACCTCCCTTCTACCCAGCGCAACTCAGTGAACTCAACGTCAGCTTTAAGTATAATGGAGAACGCAACGATGCAATGTAGTGCTATCCTAAAGCATAGCGATGTACCTGTGTCTGCACCATCCTCTATCGAATGGAAGATGCCTAGACGCCCGATCTGCTTTACTCCGACTGGCGAATCATCAACTTTCTCGTAGGCATGGCAAGTAAACACAGCACTTGTATCAAGCATGAAGTCGGTTACACTGCGCAAACAGCCCGGTACTCACCGATGTTACGTCGCATTCCAACTCATGTGGTTGTACTGGCTCTGACGGATGCACAGTGCGATATAAGGCGGATGAGCCACACGATCTAGCAGTACTCCTGCTGGTGTGTCCATGCACCACAAGAAGATTCCTCGATGCAGATACTTTGATGTCATTCTGTCGGTACCCTCGAGCATCGATTCTCACTTTGAGATATACCTGTAGATAAATGAGCACACATAAGACAAATGCTATTCAACAATTTCGCAACGGTGAATTCAATGCAAACAACAATGGGTACTGCTATGAATCGAAAAGCTGTCGACAAATCTCCAAGCCAATCATAATCGTCTATCATCATCTCCCAATATGGCCAGTGCCATCGATCCCGACGGTCAGCGTTCTTAATGCACCCATAGTTATCAGCGAAAATGTAGCACGCTTAACAAGCCAAACTCCATGAACATTGTAGACGATTGAAAACTCGGTGAGATGGTGAGACTCGAATGGCACAAATAAACCTACCAACACAGATGTTGCGCGTGGAAACCAAGCACTCACTGATACTCCGATCGTGTCCTCTTTTGAATCTCGCACGTGACCATTCATGCATTTGATGGCACCATCCACCAAGTGGCTTGTTGTGCCATCGCAGTTGTGCTTCATGTGTGGTTCTGCCTGCTCATTGCATCCGATCGAAGATGGACTATCTGGATCAAACTCATGAGTACCGTGATGGGTAGATTCTCCATTTTCCGAAGCTGAATCATGGTTGTTATCTTGAGATTGCTGTTCATCTTCCGATGGATGGTTATTTCCACGATCTCTCACTAATTCGTTATCCGAATCGGGATGGCTAGATTCACAGTTCCCCGACGGTACATTGTGGTAATGTTCATTTTGAAGATATGGTTCATCCACCGGTGAATCCTGTTGTCCATTTCCTACCACAGATGTGTTCTGTGCATTCCGATGTCTGAATTCACTGTTGCCCGATGTTGGATTGTCGTGATGACTGTCCCATTCCTTGTGTATTTGTATTGCCCCGGTTGCATTCGGTGCCACACATTGTAGTGCAGTTCTGCAAAACTTATCCCATTCATTGTTGATCGCACGCTGAACGTTGTTACCCATGGCGTGGTCGTGTGGACTGCTAGACTATGTATATAGTCCTCGGTAAGATGAGTTGCGGCAAATCACCGTTGCCATGACTGTCGCATCAGCCAATCGGGATCATTGGATCATTGGAATGTAGAGAGCAGAAGGAAAAATCTTTTGTCAGCTCCATCGCCTCCCATTCGTCACAGGGATCAAGGTGGATATTGCAATCGGTACCAATGGAACCGCTGCATTGACACAAGCAGCAACAAGATCCGAGTTTACTCAACAGGTAAGAATCCAATTGATGTTTGAAACATTCCTCTGACTGCTCATCGACGACGTACACAGGACGATTATTCCATTCGTTCACTGCTCTGGTAGACAGAGTGACATCACAACGGACCTGAAGTCTCCTTTGTTTAAGCAACTTCAAATGGTGACCCCGAGCCGAACTGAAAGAACTGAGTGAAAAGAAATTCTGCGATTCAACTTCAAGCTCCCCTCTAATGATACGCCGTGCGAAAATCAAATCCCCGCGATCTCGACGGTAGGCTAGAGAGAACAAGTTCAGGCACTGGAGACGATGCGAGTAAGGCAGGTTTCATAACTCCAGAACGGATTTACATCTTTTCCACTGAACTTTTCTTTCAAGTTGCATTCAGATTTGGAAAGAGAATAAACAGCAGGCAGTCCATACTCAAGAATCGGACGTACATGAGAAGTGAACAAGAACCTGAAGATCTACGGAGTCAAGCGTCCAATTTAAGGAGGAAGAGACCTACTCCTCAATACAGTTGGAGAAACTCAATCAGTTTGGACTAAGATTTGGTTGCTCTGCATCGCCCCACGGTCAAAATTAGAACGAGTCAAAGGTCACATCAGTGTGATCTCGTCAATATGGTCAAATGACACGACTGCAAGTCCCTTCCCACCCGTTCTGATCTGGGATGTCAATGTGAAGGTGAGACCAGTGACCATAGACAGTGGAATAGGAACTGACATGTCGCTTCAATAAATGACTTATCGAACAATGGAACGGTGGATAAATTGGGTCGAAAAACAATTTTCAACATATTCCGTGTGGTGGAATCGGGAAAAAAACAATTTGGATGAGAAAATGAAAGACACTTCGATGGACTCATCACTAGGGTGTTCGCAATAAGACATGCGTATAAGAATCGAGGCTTTCTTCTGGTTGCGTTATGTAGCCACTTTGTTGTTCAAAGTCATGAAATGAAATGCGAATGGGATAATGCTTCGTCAAATCGTTTTTGAAATATCGTTAGGCTTGGGATAGTACTTACCGGATGATGAAATTCCAGCGGCATTCCAGCCGGCTATGCTGTATTGTCAAATGTTATTAATGACCACTCAATTTGATGTGTGGCTCAGCTCCGATAGCCCGCGGCAATGTGTTGTGTGTTCTTCAGGACCGGGCACACCATTATGAGAGGCCCGCAAGTGCCGATGTTGAATGATGTGCGTTCCTGGGAACTATAATCTGAGCTGGTATGGCAGATAAATGATGGCTTTTGTTCAGCAAAGTATTTTTGGAGAAACCACGACATGGGCTCAGTTACCTTCTTAGCCTTCAGGGCCTTCGAGTGAATGTTTTTCAACTCCCGGAGAGCAATGAGCTCGCAATGAGAGCAATTTCCTTAGCACAGGGAGGAGGACCACTAGGCGATAGTTGGCGGGCTCCGAGCGATTGCCGCATTTGAAAAGTGGTGATTACACCATGTTTCCACATGGTACGCACAGCTTGTTTATCCAAGCACGTTAGGAAGAAATGCAATAATGGCCCGGCCAGCGTTGTTGCTGCTTTGTTCGGTGCCATCTGGTGAATATACTCGATACCGGGAGAGCTGTAGGTACGTCGTGAGATCAATTTCTTCAGCACAGCTGCGGCAGTAAACTCGATGTTAGTGAGCGGTGAAGTTGGGGATAGGAATGTGGGTATATAGCACTGGCGGACGTCTCCTTGGAAGGTAGGGGCATACTACATTCGTAGGGCATTGACTGCCTCTTCTGCACTCTGTGCCACTCCGACTGGTGTTAAATGTGGGGGGGGGATACCAAGCTTCAATTTGCGGATGGTATTAACACGCTTGTATGGGAGATTTTGGTTGTTGGCAAATTTACAGGCAAAATGCTATTGGTGAATCAATTTGTCCTCACGGACACGCATTTTACAGTGATTGCGCTGGGTCACATAATCGCTCCAGGTTTCGGGACAAGGACAAGCTCTGTAAGTTTGCTAAGCTGCATTCCTTATTGACATACGCTTGCGAATGATACTTCGAATGAAAGACGAAGGATTGGTGGAGCGAACCCTCTTTGTTTCCGAAGCAGTTGCGAGTAGATTGCTGAAGGGTCCAACAAAATGAATTCAGGCGTTATCAGGTGAGCCACCTTTCAAGAACTCCCAATCAATCGTCTCAATTAGGTTGTTCAAGATGTTGCAATTTGTGACAGTATGTCTTAGTTCTGTGTGTTCCTCAGGAGATTCAGCGTAACAAACAGTTATAAAGTATGGTGACATGATAGTTTAGCCCCAGTGGGGTGTCTATAAATGGCCTGTCGATCATGAGTTCCTCATTTGTAAATACGAGGTCAACTACTGATGGTTTGTTATCAGCTCTGTACCTGGTAGGTCCGGTGATGTGGTTGTAGAGCGGGATACTTGAGATAAGGTTTCGTACTTCGGCCTTGTGTGTTTCGATGACGGATGCCGAGCTTACCAAGTCGTGCACGTTAAAATCACCGGAAATAAGAACGTGTTGTAAGTTGGGAGTAAGCACTTCCTCAGTGATGATATTAGGTGGGAATCCATCTCTGGATTGGACGATGGAATGCAATATATGACTGCCACGAAGCAGTTGTCGTCGTGTCTGAGACGCAAACGGCACTATAGCGAATCGGTGACCCGTGTCTCCGGATAACCCAGTGGTTCGCATTGTAAGTCCTTACGATAGTATAGGATAGGACCACCTTCGCTGCTGGGACGATTGTGTCGGAACGAGGACATACCCTGAATCGCGGTTTTGCCATCCGTAATCCCTGAGTGCAACCAAGTCTCGGTTGTGATGAGATCCCAAGCGTTTGCTGCCTGGCACAACCGAAGCTCGGCGAATTTGCTGTGGAGACCTTGGGCATTCGTGTATATGCAGCAAAGTGATTCGGTTCTCAGCGACGATCCGAGGCAGTTCTGGTTAGGATGATAGGTTGTGCTGACCGTTGTATGGTCGGCCGAGAGTCGTTTTGTGGTTTTATCGGCGAGTCTTTTGGAGTTGGATTCGGTGGCATTGTGCTTAGCCTCTCTGACAACTCAGTTTGCGCAATGCATGAGGAGTGCCCGCAGGATTCCACAAAAGTTTCTCAGTTACTTCAGACTTGCTTCCGGTGTAAATTTTAGATAAGATCACTAACGCGTTTGCCTGCTGTGGTGGTGCCTTAAGTCAAACGACAGTTTCGCTCGACCCTTTGAACCGGAGCTCGGTTGGCAGTCTGTTCCGAAGTGAATATTAGCATTCCAGTAGCGTAAGTGCCAGCTGTGTAGTTTGTAACAGAACCTTAATTATCCTTGGGCCGCACCCTTTGTAGCTTTCTGACCTTGGAAGTATCGATAGAGAAGTAGCCATAACGTCATTCAAGAGCATGGTCTCACGAATATAGCGCCACTGCTCCTGGTCGTGTGTCTTTGCTTCGAAGTCATCGTGCTCGTGAGACTGGGGGACGCCGTGGACAAAAACGGTTCTTGCTGTGGCGTTTAGCCGAAACTCTTCTAATCGCTGTCTCACTCACTTTGCTGTTTCCACGTAACGTCTGGAAAGACGCGGACCAGACTGATTTCGTTCTGGAAACGAGCAGTCAAACACAACACTGCTTATACCTCATAGACGGGGTTTAACACAACCCGAAGAAGTCTGGCTTCGCCATAATGATTCGAATTTCGGGTGGCGGGTGCTCCTCTTCAAGTTGGAGAGTTTAGTTAGAATACCGAGAACGTTACTTATGGCATTCCATTGGTTCAGGTCATTCACCTGTTTCCCCTTCAAAGAAGTAGATGTTGACTCATAGACGTAGGTACATATTATAGAAAGGGCATCCAGTTGTTTCTGAGCGTCTTGCTTGCGAGTGTATATCGTAGTTGGGAGACCCAGCGATTTGCTATGCATCCGTGCAGCGTTGTCTTTCACATTAGTTATAGGTGTGGTTATAGAAAGAGCAGCGTCTAATTTTTGAGTGTATTTTGATGCAACAACGGTCCAGCTGCCACTGGAATTCGCAGGTTTCCTAGGTTTCAGCAATGTCTGGTGGGAGGAAGTGGGTTTGGGAGAAATTGTTGTATATGGACTGGGGGCTAGTCGTTTGGGAATGCTTAGGCGATTTGGGTATGATTCGATTTGATTCGTCGCAATTAGATTCCAAGCCGCATAGATAAGCTACCAATCCGGGAAAGCACTAGTCGCGCGTTTCGCCATATTGGAGCTCGTCAATGGTGTGCATCCATTGGTCCCCTACTGGGGATCTAACCCATGACCACTGGAGGCTAAGGCCAACTAGCCAACAGTTTATGCCACTGAGCCATGGGGGACGACAGCCGACCATTAGGAATTGAAACCTAACTGCGATATAGCCCGACCCATCCTCCACTGTCGTGCAGGTTATTGCCGGTGCAGAGGACAGTGGTTGACCGTCACGGTCAGGTCTTCCCTTGCCAGCGCCGTGAATCCAAACAGCAATTTTGAATACTGGTAGGGCGTAGATTTTGATTACTAATGGGTATAATTCGATTTGGTTCATCGCAATTAGATTCCAAGCCGCATAGATAAGCTACCAATCCGGAAAATCACCAGACGCGCTTTTGGATTATTGAGGGCGTTTGCAGGTGCAGCTTTATTTGTGTAACATTCGGTGTTGTTGAGTTGGCTTGCAGTGGAGTTAGGCGGAGGGGCCTGTGTCAGACATTCTGCTATACTTATTCCTACCGAAGCTATTTTGGTGTCCAGCATCTTAACTACGTCTGTTAG